CTGGAGCTGCTGGTGCTGGAGGTGCTGGAGATGTTGGTGCTGGAGGTGCTGGAGGTGCTGGAGCTGCTGCAGGTGCTGGAGGTGATGGAGCTACCACTATTGGCGGTACTGGAGTTCCTGTTGGTACTTGAGGTCATGGACCTGCTGGTGCGCTTAGCCACCTTCTCGCCCTTCCGCCAGCTCCTACTGAGTTCCCAGTCGCTGGTACTACTCCTCCGTTACTGTTCCCACAACTCCTGCCTCACTCCCCACTGCCTGCTCCTGCTCCTTACACTGCTGTGACAGAGTCCCTGACTGAGCGTCGAGAGCCTGAGACTCGTGCTTCCACTCCTGAGCGTCGAGAGCCTGAGACTAGAGCTTTTGTCCGTGCTCGTGTTCCTCGTGTTCGTCATTCTCGTGCTCCGGCTGTCCTAGGCACTCATGATATGACACTCCGTTTTTCCTCTGTTCCACTGCGTGTTGTCCTGCCTTCACCTCCTGAGTCTTCTCTTCCCGCTGGTGGTGACCCTCCGTCTGACCTTGCTCGTGCGTCCAGTCCGACTGTTACTCGCTTTCTTGCTACGGTTATGACGGACTCTACGCTCTCGTCTCCTGCTGCGTCTGCCTTTGTCGCTGAGCTAGTTGACTTTGCTGCTGCGTACTGCCTAGACTACCGTGCGAGTGTCGTTTCTAACCCTGACCCTGCCTGTCCTCCGTCCCTCGGGGGTGAGGTTGCCCTTGGCTGTGACGTTCTTGAGGATAGGAAGGAGGAGCTGGAGTGTCTTGCGGCCGCTGCACCTCATCTCGCGACCATGCTGCTTGCCCCTGAGGGAGACCCGGATGCACTTAACATCCCCACCCCGCGCTCTTACAGAGAGGCGATCTCAGGTGAGTACTCCTCTCAGTGGCAGACACCCATGGACGCACAGATGGCTTCTTGGAAGTCCACAGGCACCTACGTCGACGAGTTTCCCCCACCTGGGGTGAACATCGTCAGTGGCATGTGGATTTTCAGGGTGAAGTGGCTGCTGGGTTGTTCTCCGCCTGCCTTCAAGGCGTGTTACGCTGCTCGAGGCTTCAGTCAGTGACAGTGGGTCGACTTCTTCCAGACCTTCTCCCCTACCCCAAAGATGACCACTCTTTGGGTGTTGCTACACTTTGCAGCTCAGCGTGACTACGAGCTGCACTCCCTCGACTTCTCAACAGCTTTCTTGCAGGGTAGCCTTCACGAGGCCATCTGGCTGCGCCGTCCACCTGGCTTCACTGGGTCGTTTCCCGAGGGTACCCAGTGGAGCCTATGGCGACCAGTTTACGGCCTGCGTCAGGCACCTCGTGAGTGGCACGACACACTGAGGACTACACTTGCGACTCTTGGGTTTGCTCCTTCGACTGCTGACCCGTCGCTGTTTCGGCACACCGACACTATCCTGCCGCCGTTCTACGTTCTCGTGTACATTGACGACTTGCTTTTTGCTACTGCTGACACTGAGGCCCTGGCCCTAGTGAAGGCGGAGCTGCAGGAGAGACACACCTGCACTGACCTGGGTGAGCTACGGAGCTATCTTGGCCTGCGGATCACCCGGGACAGAGCACGACGCACCATCACTTTGACTCAGTCACACATGGTGCACCAGGTCCTTCATCGCTTCGCCTTCGAGTTCTCCTCGCCACAGCCCACTCCTCTGTCTACCGGCCACTCACTCTCAGCTCCACCTTCGGACGAGTCTGTAGAGCCGAGTGGTCGGTACCCAGAGCTTGTGAATTGCCTCATGTACCTGATGACTTGCACGTGACCTGACCTCTCGTACCCTCTCAGCCTTCTGGCTCGCTACATAGCTCCCGGTCGACACTGAAAGGTGCTGTAGGATGCTGCGAAGAGGGTACTGCGTTACTTGTGCAGTACATCGGGCATGGCGCTCGTGCTTGGAGGACGGGGTTCAGTGGTACTCACAGGACACTCCGACGCTTTTTGGGCCGACGACCAGGCGACTCAGCGTTCGTCACAGGGTTACACCTTCAGTCTTGGCTCTGGTTCTGTCTCGTGGAGGTCCACTCGTTCTTCTTCTGTGCTTGGTTCCAGCTGTGAGGCCGAGATCTACGCTGGGGCCATGGCTGCACAGGAGCTACGCTGGCTAACCTACCTGCTGACCGACTTGGGAGAGCGGCCTCGTTCTCCTCTAGTTCAGTACGTTGACAACAATGCAATGCTTGCCTTGTGTCACGAGCAGAGACTAGAGCACAAAACGAATCACATTGTTCTTCGCTACTTTCTTGTGCGTGAGCTGCAGCAGCGTCGTCAGCTTCGCCTTTCCTACGTGGCCTCGCGGGCCAACACTGCTAATGTGTTCACCAAGGCCCTTGGGTCTGGTGATCATCAGCGTTTCTGCACTGTTCTTGGGCTTGTGCCCACTCTGCCTCACCTGTTGGTTGCTTGATTTGCACCTATTGTACACTGATATATATATATTTATACCTGCTTGTTCACTCTTGCTAGGTTGTAATCTGTGTACTGTTTTGCTATTATAACTCTGCATGTGAACTGGCCTTGTGGCCGATTGTTTGTGCTCAGACTGCGTGGTGATCTTGAGATCCACCCTGAGCTTTGCTTTGTTTGCTTCTCTTGACGGGTCTTGTGACCATTGCTTGCTCTGGCTATCCCCCATTTCGCCTATGGGGGTGTGTCAAAACATATTTGTTTCTGTTTACATTTCTCTATGCTACATTGGGGCTATCTTTAGGGGGTATAGAAACCATCTCGATACTTTGCTTGTACCCCCTCCCTCAACCTAATTGATCACTTCTTCCTTAGTTCTTCAACAACAATACCATAAAAATGGCTAGTACCGGTACCAAGATATTTTCTGAGGTGCCTGAAAGTGGTACGCCGTACATGTTATGATCCTTAAACTCTTGCCCACAGCATGTGGTACCGTGCTGCTTGCATGACAGAGATGAGACCGAGGTCCTCTGTCTCACCTGCCCCCTCTCACCTGCCAGGACCAGAGTCGGACTGAACCAGTGCAGAGGGAACGAGCTCAGAGAGGCACTGCTGTGGGTTAACTGGCCCATGTGCAGGGCAAAGGCTAAGTGAGTGCCGATTTCCCCCTTACCTCTTGTGAATGCATTGCTGCCAATGCTGCTGCTGCTGCTGGTGCGGACGCTGCTTGTTTCGCCTGTCTCTGATGGGAGGGGCGGCTCAGTAGCATGGTCTTGGGTTGGTTCGAGGGCAGCGGGAGGAGCGGTGGAGGGAGCAGCAGCAGGAGGGCGAATGAGGTCTTGAGAAAGAGAGGTGGCAAGAAGCTGTACATTGCTGGGGAAGGGCTATTGAGGTTGAGGGTTGACCGGGGCAGGGGACAGAAAGCAAGTGGCAGGAGAGTGAATGAGGAATGGAGAAATAAAGGTGGCAAGTAGATGTACATTGCTGGAGGATGTTGGAAAGTGGGAGGGAGGGATGAGAGAAGGCATAGGCGTGTCATGCAGCGAGAGTGAGGAGGTTGATGGCATGAACCGAGTGGGCATGATACATTCGAATTGACTAACAAATATGATACATGTGCAAGCCAACAGTCCGGCTAGTTGAAACGAAGTGAAAATGAAATATAAGGGAATGGAATCTGGATAACGACTTACGAAAGAGGAGTGGAGGACTTGACGCAAAGGTTTGTCGAATCAGAATTTCGAAGCGTGACACTGGTGAGTTGTGTTGTGTCACCTTTTCCGCATAGCCACGATATATATTTGTTAGTCAGTTCGAATTCACAACTCCGAATTCGAGTTTTTGCAAACGGGAACAAAACAAGGCCCTGCAACATCCGCTGAACTGGTAGAGGCGAGGTGAATGAACCGGTTTGCTTTCCACAAAATCGTTTCTAACCGATATTCCCGTCCCATGCCCATCATGCCGACGGACATATGTTAGTCTTTGCAACCGGGTCATTTGTCAACGAGACACAAACATATGTCCGTCGGCGTGCTTCTTTGCTTCCTTCCGTTCTTGTTTTGTTCATAGTCATGGCGTTCCGCGCGCATCATGTCATGTGCGTTTCCACGATGGAACCCTATCCTCTGCGGCACGTGTGCAATATCACCCTTCCCACGCACGCGAAGCGCAGGCGTCGGTCTGCAGACTGCATTGGTTTCCATACCGAGTCGCCAATCGCAGTAGGCACCCCTTTCAGTCCCCCATACTCCCCGCCAGTCCCCCTTTCGAGCAATCCCGCTTCACCCATCTCACGCATTCTTCACTATAAGTTCTTAACAGTCTCTCCACGCTAGCTCACCCCCAGCAGCAACAGAGGCACCAACTATGATCCTCGAGCACGTGGTGTGGTGGTACCGTGCTGCTTGCATAACAGAGATCAGAATTAAGTCCTCTGCCTCACAACCAGCCCCCTCCCACCTGCCAGCACCACTACCAGCAGTAGCTGGAGCACCGGCAGCAGCAGCACCACCACCTGTTGCTTCACCAGTGGCGTCAATTGACTGAGTAGGTTGGGAGGGAACCATCTCAGAGAAGCACTGCTGCAGCTGCTGTGGGGCTAGCTGGCCATGTGCAGGGTGAAGGAGAAGTGAGTGCCGGTTTCCCCCTTGCCTATAGCATGTGTATCGTGCTGCTTGCACAACAGAGATCAGACTAAGATCTTCTGCCTCTCCTATCCCCTCCCATCTGCCAGCACCACTACCTGCAGCAGCAGCACCTTTCGCCCTTTTCTATAGCATGTGCTTTCATGCTGCTTGCACAACAAAGATCAAACTGAGATCTTCTGCTTCTCCTATCCCCTCCCATATGCCACTGGACTGAGCAGGTGCAGAGAGAACGAGCTCAGAGAGGCAATGCTGCAGCTGCTGTGGGGTTAGTGGCCCACATGCAGGGCAAAGGCAAAGTGAGTGCCGATTTCCCCCTTGCCTCTTGTGAATGCATTGCTGCTAACGGTGCTGCTGCTGCTGCTGCTGCTGCTGCTGCTGCTGCTGCTGCTGCTGCTGATGTTGCTGTTGCTGACGCTGCTTGTTTTGCCTGTCTCTTATGGGAGGGATGGCTCGGTAGCATGGACTTGAGTTGGTTCGACGGCAGTGGGAGGAGTGGTGGAAGGAGCAGCAGCGGGAGGGCGAATGAGGTCAGGAGAAAGCGAGGTGGCAAGAAGCTGTACATTGCTGGGGAAGGGCTGTTGGGAAGTGGAGGGTGACAGGGGGCAGGGGACGGGGACAGGGGGCAGGGGGCAGGAGAGCGAATGAGGAATGGAGAAATAAAGTTGGCAAGTATCTGTACATTGCTGGAGAATGTTAAAAAGTGGGAGGGAGGGATGAGAGAAGGCATAGGCTTGTCATGCAGCGAGAGTGAGTGAGGAGGTTGATGGGATGGGATGAGCTGAGTGGGCATGATACTTGCAAAGGGCGGGACATGTGGAATTAGGTTGGGCAAGCGAAAGCTGCTATATGTAGATATGCAAGACAGAGGAGATATACGGAAAGAGGAGATTAGATAATGGCTTACGAAAGAGGAGTGGAGGGCTTGACGCAGAGCAATCAGGGCCACTTCGCCTGCCTGCAGGGAGAACGATAAGGAGTGATAGAAGGATGAGGAGATATCACTGACAGAGAGAAACATTTGAGACCTCCCAAAGGCGAATTGATCCGGCCCTCATTTCCTGCCTGCAGGTTGTCAACAAGGCAGAAGCGCAGGGATGGCATCTTGGCTGCTGCCCGGAGCACCCCTGCTATGCCCTCAAATCCACTCCCAACACATTCTCACCAATGGAACTGAACATAAAGCACTCACCCGGAGGTTCAGGTTGTCAATCACAAGGCAGAAGCGCAGGGAGGGCATCTTGGCAGCCGCCTGTAGCACCCCTGCTATGCCCTTCACTCACGTGACCCTAACCACAACCTTCTGACTGGAACTGAGAGGAGCTTGCACCAGAACTCACCCGGAGGTTGAAGTTGTCAATGACGGGGCAGAAGCGCAGGGAGGGCATCTTGGCAGCGGCCTGTAGCACCCCTGCTATGCCCTTCACATCGCCCTTCTGTAGCAACACCACCCTCAGTTCCCGCCTCCCCCTGCTGCCCCTGCCCCCCATGCTGCCTGCATCACCCCCCCTACAACCTCCAAGTGACCCTAACCACAAGCTCCCAATTGGAACCGAGAGGAGCTTGCAACAGCACTCACCCGGAGGTTCAGGTTGTCAACAAGGAGGCTGAAGCGCAGGGACGGCATCTTGGCAGCTGCTTGGAGCACCCCTGCTATGCCCTTCACTCCACTCCAACCACATTCTCCCAAACAGAAATGAACATAAAGCACTCACCCGCAGGTTCAGATTGTCAATGACAAGGCAGAAGCGCAGGGATGGCATCTTGGCAGCCGCCTGCAGCACCCCTGCCATGCCCTTCACTTCCCCCTTCTGCAGCAGCACCACCCTCAGCTCCCGCCTCCCCCTGCTGCTGCCTTCCCCTGACTCGCCCGCAAGAGGAGATGTTAAGGGAGAATCGGAGGAGGGAATGGAGAGGAGGGTGGAGGAGGGGAGGGCCATGGGGAGGAGTACAGAGGGGAGGAGGGTTGACTTGCCCGTGCCAGGTGGGCCGTGCTGATTGGATGGGAGATGGGTTGATGGGAAGGGGGGAGGGATGGGGAAGAACAAGGGGGGAGGAAAGTTTGTAGATGGAGAAAAGTGGAGAGAGCTTTGGGATGAGTTGACCTTTGAGAAAAGTGGAGAATGCAGCGGAGGAAGGATTGTAGACGGAGAAGTGCGGCAAGGGCGGTGGGATAAGCAGGGCAAGAGGTATGGGTGGGAGGGAGGGAGGGCAGGAAAGGAAGGACGCACTAGCAGCACGTGGGGAAAGGGCCGGCCATCCACACGTGTGTTGCCTTTGAGAATTCCCAGAAGTAACATCAGCATAGTCAGCCATCCACATGTGTGTGTGCCTTTTGAGAATTCCCAGAAGTAACATCAGCAGAGTCAGCCATCCACATGTGTTTGCGCACCAGTTTTCTCAGGGTCTCTCGATGGTCGTTGTAGATATGGAGAAGGGTGCTTTTGAGAATTCTCAAAAACAGCCATCCACACGTGTGTCTGTGCACCAGTCTTCTCAGGGTCTCCCGGTGGATATTGTTGACGGAGAAGAGCGGTGAGGGCGGTGGGGGGACTAGGGCACGAGGCATGGTTGGAAGAGGGGTGGGTGGAGAGGGAGGGCAGGAAGAACGCACCAGCAGCACATGGGGGGAGGGATGGCCGTCCGTCCATAGGTGTGTGCACCGGTCTTCTCAGGGTATTTTGAGACGTCTCAAAAACTCACCTTTTACATGGGTATCCTGGTGGTTGTTGTTGCGGATAGAGAAGAGTGGCGAGGGCGGTGGGGTGAACAGGGCAAGATTGAGGAGTGGCATGGGTGGGATGGAGAGAAGGATGGACGTACCAGCAGCACATGGGGGGAGGCACGGCCGTCCACGTGTGTGCGAACCAGTCTTCTCAGAACCATTCGTTGCCCATTATAGATAGAGAAGAGAGGTGAGGGCGGTGGGGTGAGCAGGTCCGGTGCTGCTGCCATGAAGCGACCTCCCTTCCACTCCAGCACTGCCATACCAACGGGAAGGGGGGGAAAGTGAAGGGGGAATGGGACAAAATGACGGGGAAAGGTGGGAAAGGGACAGTGAATCAAAGGTCCGGTGCTGCTGCCACGAAGCGACCTCCCTTCCCTTCCAGCACTGCCAGTGGGAAGGTGGGGAAAGTGAAGGGGGAAGGGGGGAAGGGGCCACAGGAGGGAAATTCTCAGAGGCTCTCGCTGCTCGTTGTAAATAGAGAAGAGTGGTGAGGGCGGTGGGGTGACTAGATTCGGTGCTGCTGGCACGAAGCGACCTCCCTTCCACTCCAGCACTGCCAGTTGAAGGGGGGAAATCGAAGGGGGAAAGACGGGGTGCTCGCGCTAGTATTATCCTGGTCAGTCCATCACACATCCTTTCAAGGTAGGGTGGTAGACTGGTGAGGGCGGTGACTAGTTCTGGTGCTGCTGCCATGAAGCGACCTCCTTTCCACTCTAGCACTGCCAATGGGAAGCAGAGAAAGTGAAGGGGAAAGCGAAGGGGAAAGTGAAGAGGGAAAGGGGAAAGGGGGAGGGGGACAGAGGAGGGAACTTTTGAGGCACCTCAAAGGTTCGGTGATGCTGCCACGAAGCGACCTCCCTTCCACTCCAGCACTGCCAGTTGAAGGGGGGAAATCGAAGGGGGAAGGGAGGAAGGGGACAGCGAATGGCACTTCTGAGGTGCCTCAAATGTCCGGTGCTGCTGCCACGAAGCAACCTCCCTTGCACTCTGGCACTGCTGATGGGAACCGGGGAAAGGGGAAACAGGAGAATTGGGGAAGGGGGAAACAGGAAAAGAGGGTAAGGGGAAAGAGTCTATATTAACACTATCTCAAACCACTTCAGTCGACCTCTTTTTTGCTGACAGAACAAGGGGAGTGGGAACAGAAGACATCTCACCATGTCAAACGACAGTCCTTTTTTTTCCCTCTCTGCCCTTCCCCTCTGCCCTTCCTCTCTTCCCTTCCTCTCTTCCCTTCCTCTCTTCCCTTCCTCTCTTCCCTTCCTCTCTTACCCTCCTCTCTGCCCTCCCTCTTTCCCCCATGCTTCGGGGACCACAACATCCATCTCACCATGTACAACTATGGTCATTCCCTCCCTTCAAACTTCTCATTTCCACCCTCCCCCTCTCTCTACCCTCCCTCTTAACCCATCCACGCCCCATCCCTCAGGGAGCGCAACATCCATCTCACCATGTACAACTATGACTCCCCTCGCGTGGGCAACGCAGCCTTTGTTGCACGATTCAATGTGGCTAGTGAAATCCCTGCGAATATCACCATGTGGTTAGCCTTCCAAGCATCCCTGCCCAACATCACACTCCCCGAAACGTCTCTATCGATCCAGCTGGTTCTTTTTGTGCCACGTGAAATCCCTCCCTCTGTCTCCACCGCATCACCACAATCAACACGATTCCTCCTGCTTATACAGAGGGGACAGGAGATTTGAAATGCCCAAGCACTTACTGTTCCCCCCTCCCTATTCCGTCGCCAGATAATCCCTTCTTCCCTTCTCTCCACATCACCCCACCTCGCCCCCTCCCCCCCCCCCCCCCACCCACCCACCCACCCCTGCTCGCTCCCTCTAGTACATGAAAAGCACCTACTGTTCCCCCCTCCTTCACCATATCAGCTCCTCCCATCTCCCCTTCTCTGCACATCACCTCCCCTCCCACCACCCACCCGCCCCTGCTCGCTCCCTTCAGTACATGAGAAGCACTTGTTTCCTCCCCCTCCTTCACCATATCAGCTCATCCCTTTTTATCTTTAACTGCACAGCACACCTCCCCTCTCCTGCTCTCTCCCACCCACCACCTACCCCTGCTTGCTCGTTCCCTCCAGTACATGCGTGACAGCTGGCATATTGTGAATCGTGCTGACATTGTACCCACAGTGCCCAAGCTAATGGGGTACCGCCACGTCTGCTGCCCTGTCTACCTCAGCCCAGGAGGGCCCTCAGGTGACCTTCATGTGGGTTGTGAACCTTCAGGGGGATGTGGCCTTCAGGTGAGTTGCCTTCAGGTGGATGGCCCTCAGGTGGGTGTGTTCTTCAGGTAAGTGTGACATGCATGTGCTTTCTAGATTATATTGACTTCAGGTGGGTTGTGACCTTCAGGTGGATGTTTCCTTAAGTGGTTGTTACATTCAGGTGCTTTCCAGATGATATTGACTTCAGGTGGTTCTCATATGATAATGTCTCCATCATGCATGTCTCCATCATGCAGGTCTCCATCATGCAGTTCTCCATCATGCATGTCTCCATCATGGAAATGTGCTCATGTGTCCATGTGTGCATTCATGGCTGAACGCATGTGTGCATTCATGGTTGAACGCATGAGTGCATGTGCGTATGGATGCATGGACGCATGCATGTGCACATGGAAGTCGGATGCGTCACAGGAGCAGCTAGGAGTGGATGATGGGTATGCCGCAGAGATGGTGGGGGAGGCCAATGCCAACGACATTCTAGAAGACTATGTGAGACATGCATAGATAGCGAGGTAATATTCTTGCTTACAATGCAAACGTGCATATGCATGTGGAGTGGATGATGGGTATGCCGCAGAGGTGGTGGGCGAGGCCAATGCAACAACATCCTAGAAAACAATGTGAGCCATGTGTGCCCATAGATTCTATTAGGGGGTGTTTTCTCTATGAGTGTACATGTGCATGCACATGCATTATGCATATATGCATGTGCATGGATGCATGTGGAGTGGATGATGGGTATGCTGCTCTAGAGATGGTGGGGGAAACCAGCCCCAATGACATTCAAGAAGAATACGTGAGGCGTAGACTCTGTGTGCCAGTCAAATTCCAATAAATCTTGAGACGTCTCAAAAATATCCTCTGTGTGCCAGTCAAATTTAGATAGATTCTGAGACTTCTCAAAAATATCCTATGTGTGCATTCCTAATTCAGCTGCATCCATTCCAATCATTGAGTGTGGAGAAGGCGTGAAGGCATGCCTGCTTGTCTCTATGTGCACACTGTGTCATGCTCTTGCTCTCTTCCCGGCGAGCGGCGGTTGATTGGCCGGCTGCTGCAAACAGAGGTGGAGATGCTGTCGGCTCCCAGCTTTGATGGATGGGTCCAATTTTTTAGGCGCCTAAAAAATAGAGGGATGGGTCCAATCCCATCATGGCGACTCCTGCACGCGTGTCATGCCTCCCTCTTCCCCACCTCTCCTCCCCTTAAAGACAGATGAAGGGCGAGAGGCGGTTGAGCGACCGGGTGCTTTCAGCTCTGAGGGTCGGATGGATCCAACCCCATCAAGTGCATACACATGGCGGCTCTTGCACTCCTTGCAAGAGATGGCAGCTCCTGCACGCCTGCTTCTGATGTGCATACATTCCACTGCACGCATGAATGCCATGCTGTTGCTCCCTTCCCCCCCCCCTCTCATTTACCCCTCTTACCCCACCTCCCCCACTCTCTCCCCCTTCCCCGCCCCCCTCCCTCAGGTGAAGGGCGAGAGGCGGCTTATAGACCGGCTGTTGCAGATGGAGGTGGCGATTCTGACGGCTCTGACAGATGTGCCGCTATCATATTGGCTCCTGCACGCCTGATGTGCCATACACCCCACCCCCCTCCCCCCCCCTCAAACCCCTCTTCTTTCCATCCCTTCCCTCTTGCTCCACCTCCCTCACTCTCCCCATCCCCCTCTTCCTCGGATGAACGTTGAGCGGAGGCTGATCGACCGGCTGCTACAGACAGAGGTGGAGATGCTGTCGGCTCTGAGGGATGAGTCGGCCATCACATCGGCTCCTGCACGAGTGCTTTTGATGTGCCATACACCCATCCCTTTCACCCCCTCTTCTTTCCACCCCTTCCCTCGTACAGAGGAGGCTGATTGACCGGATGTTGCAGACGGAGGTGGCGATGCTATCGACACTAAGGGATGGATCTGCCATCATGATGCATATGGAGGACTTTTATTATATTGCGCTGCTCAATGCGGGATGTGTGTGGCATGTGTTTTTACATGATATACAGTGCACTGCACCTGGTGCACTTCGTGCCTGCCATCATGATGCACATGGACGACTTGTACTTCATCGCTCTGCTCAAGATTGGATGTGTGGAGGATGCATGATAGGACATGGCGCATGACAGGGCCGTCTCATCTATAACCATACGAATTAACTGAGTGTGCACATGGTACATGACACACAGCACACGAGTCTGCCATCATGATGCACATGGAGGAGTTTTATCACATCGCTCTGCTGAAGGCGGGAAGTGTGCAAGTGGCATGTGTTTGTACCTCATACATTGACACTTGATGCACGATGCATCAGTGGATTGGGCTGACATTTTGGGTGAATGGGACACATGATGCACATGGCACATGGTGCCATCACAATGCATGTGGCCAGCCTACTAGTTCCTATCTTCACCTCTCGCCTCCCCACTCGCACTCCACTCACTTTTGCAAACCTCTTCCACCGTCTAAACCCTATCAACCGTCTCTCACTCTCTCTCTTTCCCCCTCTCCCCTCCACCCCATGTCCTTATCCCCTCCGACCCCTAAATTTTCCTTGCTCCCAACACACACAACAGAAAGTACGAGAGAGCCTGGCCGTGTCTCAGTGAACAGCTCGTTCCATACTTCTGCCTGCTGCCACTATTTTGCCGTTCCTGGGTTATAGCTGGTTCCCTTTCAATCTCATGTGCATCGGCCCATGGAGCTTTAGACTCTATTTGATATTATATTGCTTTCACTAATAGCGTTATCAATGTTGACATGGTGTACCAATGATGATTGCAAAATAGAAGTTCCCATTCAGATAGTTTTCGGGTTCAAAACTTGCTCATTGATTGAACTGTGTTACGGGTGCAATGAATCGAGGTAGCGAGGATTGCACTAGAGTGTTCAATGAGTACAAAAAACGAGCGAAGGCATGAGCGAATACTTATATGCGAAAATGTGCAAACGGTAACGCGGTGCGTGCGAGCTAGCTAGTGCTACACTGGCGCGAGGTTCGGGCTAGTCCCGAAGCGTAGGCCGACTCGGCTGCTCCAGCAGTGCGAGGTTTGGTGAAACAGTGCGCGCGAAGTTGGCGAAGCCCCGTTAGTAGTAACGGGCGAACAACGGCTGCTACTATATGCAATGTGGACGGTCACGGTAAGGAATAGCAAGAAAATTCCTTACACTACCCCCCCCCCCCCCCCCCCCCTCAAGAAGCCCCCTCCGCTACGCGAGTGCGTGTATATCGCGGAAACCCCGGCTCCTCAGGTACACTTGCAAGGCAGGGTAGTTTTTTATGTTGGCCAGGGGCACCCAGCTATCCTCAGTTGGCGTGCGGTCCTTCCAGCGAACGAGGAACTCGATCCTCTCAATGCCTGTGGGGTGGCGAATCCGATGGCTCATTTTTTTTTTTGGGCTCGATGATCGGCTTCAATGCAGGGCGAGTCATGGATGGCGGGCGGTGACAAGGCAGTTGCCTTGTGCTTGGGATGTAAGGGCAAAGCAGGCTGACGTGGAATGATGGGCTGATGTACCAGTCTGTCGGCAATAGTAAGTGGGCGTTGACTGGGGTGATCATGTGGCTGATTTGAAATGGTCCACTGTAGCGCGGTCGTAATTTCGGCGAATCTCGGCGAATTGCTGTGCTCATGGCGTTGGGTTGTCCGGACTCGGCGTCATGGGCACTGTTGGGTTTTGCCCGTAGTTCAAGTAAAACGGGGACTGCTGCGTCGTCGCTGACGTGGCGTTGTTGTAGGCAAACTCGATCAGCGGCAGCTGCTGCTCCCAAGTTCTCGGGTTGTCGCACGTGGCCCGAATCAACTGCTCCATCGTCTGATTGATCCGCTCCGTTTGACCGTCGGTCTCGGGGTGGTACGATGAACTGAACTGTAGCCTGGTCCCGAACTGGTCCCAGAGGTTCTTCCACAAGTTGC